TTTTTTATTTTATTTTAATTCTATTATTATTTGTCCACTTTAATTATTATCATTCCATTTCACAGAAAAGACAATTATGAATTGATAATATTTATGCATTGATTTCTTTTTTACTCATTCTCTCAAAATAATAGATATTTTTAATTTTTATTTTAAGATTAAAAATTTAGAGATAATTTTTGTTTTTATTTATTTTATTTTTTTAACAAATAAAAATAAAGTGACTTGTTTAATGATAAGATGAATAATTAAAATAAAGAGAGAATTATAAAGTTTAATTGAAAAAAATATTTGTCTATCTTAAAATACAAAAAAATAACTATTATTTTCAAACAAATTTCAAATAAAAAAATCTATTATTCTAGGACAGGAGAGTATCATTTTACATACATTTATGGTATGTTTAGGTTGAAGAATTTTTTAACTAATCAAATTATAACTTTTTAAATATTAGAATTTGATTGGTCAAAAGATCATTCCTCCCCTCCATTTTTCTTAATCCAAACATGCTATTGTGCTTTAATGTTCATTCTATTAAAAATTTTAGCATTGATTTTTTTATTTTTCTTTTAATCTTTGATTATATTAACAATTACATTTTTTTATGCAACAATTTTTTTTCCTCACAGCTGCAGATTGTAAAACAATAAAAGGGTAATGAATGATAAAGAAGGGCAAATAAGACATTTAATAAGTGATTATCTTTAATAAATAGGCTAAAATATGCACTTAGTCATTTACTTTATATTTGAAGATTTTAGTCTCCTACCTTATACTATAAAATTTGACTAAGAAAGCAAGAAATTTGGATGAAAATATCCAAAGTTTTTTAGTCAATTAGGTCAATTTTTTTAATATAGAATTAATTATTGAACATCAAAAAAATTTTAATTTTTAACCTTTAATTCAAATTCAAAAATTTTAAATTAACAAATATCAATTCAAATTTGTTGTTAGGCAGCTTCAACTACGTCATGTTAAACACATTGTTTTTGATTAAAAAGTAGACGCAGTTAAGTATGGACAGGCGGCTGGACCTTAGAACTTAGAAGAGTCAACATTAACATGTTCATAGCGGCTGGACCTTAGAACTTAATTAGAAGAGTCAACATCAACATGTTCATAGCGGCTGGACCTTAGAACTTAATTAGAAGAGT